ATATTTCAAAAATAACTTTTTTATTTGATATATTGCTCGACAAACTCATGCTCTGCAATGAATACATACAATAAATGCTATAATAGTTACTGTAATTGTTGTCTATAAAACATTTGTTTTGATAAATTTAAATTATATAACAATAAATTCTATCATATATTGCAATAAAACTTTAATAGACTCGTTAGACTGTTATGTAATATGTTTGGTTGGATATCATTTACTCTACAAACCAGTATTTATTAATATTAACTACTTATTTATTAAGACATATAAATATCTCCTCATAAGTAACAACGACGGACAGAATATAACACAATATAGATTTGTACTATTAATGTAACTTACAGTGCAGTATCCCTAAAATGATATGCAATGCATTGCAATTACAGTACATTAGAATACAATAAATGCAATAATTGTAATGACAATTATATTTACATTTTACATACAATTTAAAGGGAAATCTAAATAAAAGACAAGTTGTAGTGATTTAGTTATTACAAAATTAGAGGTTTTGAAATTCAAGAATTTTGGGAACAAATGACTTATAATTTGAAACTTTTCATTCACTGAACGCTAACTTTGGATAATTTTCGCATATATTGTGTACTCATATTAATATCACAAGCTTTTGGATCTGAAAATGTATTTATCATTTCATATTTTTCGAGTCATGCAATGAGTATTTCTTTTGACTCTCATATCATATTTTAATTACCTTTTAAAACGTCAAACATTATCATCAAAAGACATGAAAGAGGTCTACAATTAAATACTGTGATTAACTCTTTTCTCAGACTCCTATCATTGATAGGCTATCAGTGACTTCTCGTCTATTAATTTATAAAAACCAATAATAATAGGAAATAATTAATTTTCCACTTATAATGTTTTTCAGTCAAACATTTGCAAAAATATTTGTTAATTCATACGTTATGTTCAATTTTGTACATTTCTGTTAAACACAAACATTTATTTTGCCACATATTCTATCATTGAATAAAATTTAATTCCACAGTATTATTATAGTGTGTGTAAGTTATATGACATAAACTCAAAATTGTGATATTCAATGAATGCATTCATTTCAATGAATACTGTATTTGGTCTAAAAGAGGGTTTTGATAACCTTTTAAACTACAAAAACATAATCAATGATATGTTGTAATTGAGAGCATGTGTTTCAAGACAAGATATTCAATGAATGCATTCATTTCAATGAATACTGTATTTGGTCTAAAAGAGGGTTTTGATAACCTTTTAAACTACAAAAACATAATCAATGATATGTTGTAATTGAGAGCATGTGTTTCAAGACAAACCACAAGTTCATGCATTTTATACAAAATATATTAAATAAGATTTTTAAATTTTAAATCTAAATATACAGTATATTTGAATTCATAATGTTTAATGTGTTATTATCAGTTGTATTTACCAAGTCTTCGCCAATATTTCTCTCCATATTTGCTTATAATTACATTATTATACAGAAATCAAATGACACATAAAAGAGCAAGCTCATATACACCCATCAAATAAGATATATTGCAATGAGATAGTAATTAAAGATTCAACTATTCAACTATTTTTCATAGGAAGTGATGTCATTTGAATTGTTTATCATTCAAGTTAACGATAAACACGTTTAAATTTATTCAACAAATATTTAATTACAATCTCATTGAAATAAATTCCAATTTCATACTATACTGTATATTAATTGAAATAATTGCTACAATTCACACAACTTGTGCCCACATTTCGGTCAAATGGGATCATTATTTGCCAGAATATTCCATAAAAAGCTATCGTCGATACACTTATACTGTATAGAAAAAGTACAGAAAACAAAATTATATAAACTTTTCAAATTGATATTACAATAGGACAACATTTTCTTCAATATAACAGCATTTTAGCATAAAAGATGTAGCTTGTACATTTGCACTGCGCCCCCTCCACAGCCTATCATGCTATAAAGTTGATTTTAAAATTGAATTAATAGTTTTTAAAAATAATTACAAAAATTATACGTGGTATCGTTTTGCGCTAGAACAATTATAATAAAACCAATTTAAAAATAACTAACAAATGAATTAATTATTACTGATTTATTATTGGGATAATATATTATTAAATTATGATGATAGTTAGTGATAGCAACATATCGTTTTGCGCTAGAACAATTATAATAAAACCAATTTAAAAATAACTAACAAATGAATTAATTATTACTGATTTATTATTGGGATAATATATTATTAAATTATGATGATAGTTAGTGATAGCAACATGTTTTACACAACTTATATAACATATTCTCACATAAGTTTATTTGTCCTCAAAACAGGCATTGCGTACATATTTTGGCAAAATTTCATAATTTCTAATTAATAAAAGCCTTGCATTGACTACACCTCACACTCAAGTACTGGCAATCATTTGGTGTTTATTGTGTTTAATTTATTGTCAGATTTTAAAATACTTTAATTAGCGGATTATAAGAGCAAAAGTAAATGTGGTATAACTTTTAAGGGTGTGGCTAATATATGTTCATTACTTCAATTATGATGGTAAAATGCCATCTCTGTAATTAGTTTGCAATATTAGACAACATATTACATAATTTACAAATATAAGTACAAACGAGATGTAACCGCGTTATCGTGATATTGAAAATCGCTTTATTCTTAACATAATCAACTTTAATCAATGGTCTTTTATCCATATGAGCTGGGTTGAATTTTCAAATCATATTTGAATCATTGTTTTTAACCACAATTCAGCTATGAATAATGTGGTTTATAGGATCGTTCGGCCCCCTCTCGGTTTGTAAAATTGTTTATAAAATAGCCAAACAATCCTATAAACTACATAATATGTGAATTGTGTTTAAAATATACGGTCAACACTACTAGTAGTAGTTGTGGTTAAAACAATTTGAAGTACAGTATCGCTGTTCTAATGGGTCTTTCCATTGAGTAAAACGATTACATGTTTTGATAGCATTTCCTGTTTAAATAATAATGAGATAAGAAAAGAGAAAATATTTAATAATCAATACTTTTATTTGTAATTTAATTTATAAATATTTGACAAATTGCTGAACAGTAGGAATAATACAATAATTAATGAATTTCCAAATATTCAATAATACAACCAATTTGTAAAATTTATAGCAAATTTGACTCAAATGGTTGTTTCGATCGAAATTGAATTCACTTTGATTTGAAGGCCAGTTATGTTCAGTTAATACTCACATCAATCCCTACTTTTACTTAAATGTCATTTATTTTAGATTCAGTTTAATTTAATGCTAAGATATATTCGTTGCGAGCATTCAATTAACTAATTATAGATATTTATATGTTTTGTTTAAAACACAATTTCTTATAACAATAACTCTAATAATAATATATTTATATTAATTTTATACGTCGATCATTGACTGACAAGTAATTTAAAATAATTTAATAATCAGTTAAATTGTTTCGATTGAACCACTTGTTTGAGTCAAATCACAATTACAATCAAATACACATTTAAATGATATAATATTTTGATTTAAAAACATTTAAAATAAACAATTATTGAATAAATACATTGTTTATAAACGATTGAAACAAATTATTTAGCAAAAAATTGTTAGCAATTAGAAAGCATTAAAAGGCGATCGAATGGCTTATAAATGACAATATATTAATAGATAAGAGTCACTAATCACTGTATTTATGTTTAATAGCATTATTTTTTATATAAGTTAAAAGTTTTGAATTTGTAATATACAAAAAATGTCACATAATTTGGTCAGTAAATTGTCTCCTAATGCGTAAGACTTGTGTATCGATTAGACATTATATTAACCGAAATGTGTTCACAATATATTATATATCATAACATCGATTATAAATTTAATCTAATTGTAAATAAACTGTATTCTTATGACTCGTTTAATAATAATTGCATAAAATTGCAAATAATTGATAACTTATGTAACAATGAATAATATAATGCATAATAAATACTGCAAATACTCTAAAAATACAACAGATTATAAAAACAAGAAAAATATTAATATCAATAATAATTACAATAATTATGTAAATAAAAACAAATTTAAAACTTCTTTAAAAATGAGAAATAGAGTGCAATTAAAATAGCAATTTTGACATTAAATTATTTCATATATTAATAGATATAAATATAATATCTATGATCTCGACCGCACTCGACGGCTCAACCGGTCTTTAAATATATATATAAATAATTAATAAATATATCAATCGATTGCAGCATTGGTTGCGGTCTCGGGTCTCGTCTTGAGATGGATATGGCGTTCAGTTGAAAGCAGAAGACAAACAAAATGATGACATAATGACGTAGATATCGGGAGTCAAGACTAGATTCAACCGAAAATGGCTTTTAAAACTTATAAACATTTTTTCGTTGCAATTTTCAATTATATATTAATATAAGTTATTCTGTAATTCCACTCAATATCACAGAATTGAGAACTTAATAGTTTTGCTTTGATTGGTATCCAAACATCAGTTTTAATAATCAATATATATTAGTCCAACAGAATTGCACTTCAATTGTAGTTCCGAATAGTTTTAAATTAATTTAAATTGTTTTCCAATAAATGCTTTCCTTTTACTTTATAAAAGTCTTGAAACATGAAAATAGTCTAAAATTTATGAGACGATTGTCGTCTCAAAACAATTGAACGGAATATTCGTAGAAATATTTGCGTCACTTTTTCCATATGTAGTAAATTATTATAAACTTATATTTATATATATTTTATACGATATAACTTATTATATAATATTCAATGTATTCGTGTTTTTCTTCACAATTGTTATCTCATTTTATCGATGAATCGATGATTAAAATCAAACATTTTAAAAAAAGTTTCTTTGAATAAGACATCTTGTTTTAAAAACAATTGCTTTCAGTTATTTTTATCATCAAATAACTGACAGACAGTTCGTAATGGGTTTTAAGCTCCAAATGACCTGAAATTTAAAACAAAATTCATTTCGAGTCAACTTTTAATTATAGAAACCATACCTTAATATAGAGATTATGTTATAAACAATGAGACATAACATAGAGTGACCAGAATTGGATTCAAATAAATTGCATCAATAGTTAAAACCGTTGAACCCCGTGTGGATGTCCGGCCATTGGGTAATAAACTATATTGTGTGACATAATTAATAAACTGTATAATCACATTAAAAAGTGTAAAATTTGGTAAAATAACGATCACTTACATGACAGCGGGACGAATGACTGATGCATTGCCAGCGCCTGTTGATAGGCGGCGGCGGATCCCGAGGGCTGGTATACGGGAAGCCCACTCTTTTCAAGAGCTGGTCTTTTGGACAATGGGATTACACCCGGAAATGTCTACATAATATTAACGTTAGTTTCAATAATTATATCATTTACTTAATCACAATCGAAGGCAAAAGCAAAGCAATTCAAAATCTTTATAATGTGTATAAAAGACTGATCTATTTATAACAATATTGTGAGTTATGTCTATTATTTCTATTGCTTTTATTAAATACAAACCCTCGACAACTAGTTAGTGATGTGATTATTAATTAATTAGTGATATAATAAGTTATAGTTAGCTGTAGTCAACTGGTGTTCAATCATTGTTTTACTTATAAACCTCAATCCATACTTCAATCCATCGATTCGTCTTCAATATAATTATTCAATATTTCCGTTGATTTTAACAAATTTCTTAGAAAATGAGTTTATTTACAATAAGATGTGTGAGAAAAATGTCATGTATAGACAATATGTGCGATAATAACCTTTATTTCTATTATTTTATACGTTTGAGTGTCTGAAGATGTTATCGATTGAGTTAAAAATAGCTACGAATTTATTAATAAATTGACACAACTTTTGTGTTTAAAACTTACCCTAACTCTAACTCCCGTTAGAATAAAGTTGTGTTCAATAAGTTAAACACAAATACACCGCTTATAACACCGACTAAATATTTTTATACATTTTAAATTAAGATTCGTAAGTCTATTGTCAGGAGAGTCGTACAATTATTAACCTTATATTTAAGACATTGAAAACTATTTAAAATATAACAAAAACTGAACATAATATATAATAGTCTGTTATCGCTATGTAATATCGCGTTGTTTAAAATGATTTCATTATAATAATAAATAACTAGAAATATTACTTCACAAAACTTATATATTTATAAATATAATAATAGAGTTTCAATCCCTTTTGAACAGTATTTTATAGTAAACATGTAGAAATGCATAATAGGGTAAATTAAAGCCGTTTCTCATTTGCATAATCCAAAAATGAAACCATAGATTATCATTCATTAATGGTGTCCAACAAACCAAACAGATATCACAACTAAAACAATTGGACCATAAAATAGAGGACACATTTCAATACATACTTTTGATAATTGGAAATAACAAAAATGAAACCATAGATTATCATTCATTAATGGTGTCCAACAAACCAAACAGATATCACAACTAAAACAATTGGACCATAAAATAGAGGACACATTTCAATACATACTTTTGATAATTGGAAATATATTTGATTGAAATAACACATCGATAGAGAACGTGCTAAAGGATAGGGAGGTATGCCATGTATGCCATGCATTGTAGACGATTTAAAGTATGGATGGATTTATACATTTAAATTGTTTCATAGATTTCATTTTAAATAAACATAAAATAAATAATAGACACCACCAGATGACTAACAACTCGTTAAATTAAATTAATCATAACTTGCATTCAATTTGTCATTATAACATACATTGTCTCAAGTTTTGATACAAAACTGCGCTTTTAATTCATATTTAATGGTTATCCTTCATTTTGATGAGATTTAATTAATACTTTGCATTCATATATTCTATTTAAATATAAAATACAAATTCTCGTAATATAAAATGATTGCTAACATAAGAGATAAAAGAAAAGTACCAAAAAAATGGTTATTAAGAATTGGACGCAGTATTTGAGTCAAACCGTTGACAAGCATTGCAAAGACACCGATGAAAAAGAGATGGACAGATGGGAGGCGGGTGTGAGAGCACACCCAAGAGGAAGAGG